ATCAGAATAATTGTACAAAATAATGAGTTTCATTGTGACATTATGGGGTATATATATAATATAACTTGATAGTATTTACTCCTTCAGAGCAATCCTTCTAAATCATGTAAATATTATTGACAAATATCCCTACTCAACCCCTCTATTTAAAAGGACTTAAAGCCAAAGCATGTAAAATAGCTGGTGACATATGTAAGTTGCCAGCGTCATCAACCTAACCAAGGGTCCTGGCATATACATCTAAGGCTTCTGGAGCAAATGATGATTTTGGCCTTTGCTTTTATTTGTGGTGCTGGGGTTTAAACCAAGCACTTGAATGCCAGGTGAGCACTATACCACAGTGCTATACTATACTCACAGTAGTACAAGATATTGCCAGTTCAGTTGTGATTCATGTCACTGGGAGATGTTAAACCTTTGAGGGAGTACTGTTAGCAAATTCTGTGCAGACTTTAATAATTCGGGCCCCTCTTGTCATAATGTTCTGCCTGATAGAAGTCTCTCTAAGACACTCTCCTTCCTCCCTCCCTTCCTCCCTTCCTCCCACCTTCCCTTCCTCCCTCCCTTCCTTTTTTTCCTTCTCTCCTTCCTTTCTTCTCCCTTTTTTTTTTGATTTTTCGAGGCAGGGTTTCTCTGTGCAGCTCTATAGACCAGGCTGGGACTAAAGGCATATGCCACCACCACCTGGTGACACTGTTCGTATCTTTGAATTAAAACTGTCTAGCTTTTGCTGTCCTGAGCATAATTGTTATGTGGCAAAACTTTTCCTGGGGAGATGGATCCAATGGAGAACCAAAGTCCGAGTTCCAGAACCAGTAGGTTTTATTGGGGTTATTTGCAGGAATATGGGTGAGGGGTTACTTACAGGAGCAGAAGTGATTCAAAGACAGCTGTGTCACCATTGCCTGCCCCATCATGAGTGACAGCTCATAAAAGCTGGAACCTGGAGCACACTGCACATCCCGCATGCAGGTGGTAGAATATCCTTTTGAGGCGCCTCGGTGATCTAACCCTTTTTCAGGTAGCTGGTCTGCCTGCTCTCAGTCATCTTTGCAGTTCAGCTTGTCTGGGAGTCTCTGTGTCTCAGTTTTCCTTCCACAGAGAGGTACTCCCTGCTTTCACTATTTACCTGGCCAGGGGGTGGGGGGGGGGCGCTCAAGAATCTGGTCAGTTTCAGGGACTTCCTGAGGCTATATTGAATGGTTTACCTTCCCACATGGACTTCTCTGCAGGATGGAATGTTTTAGGCTCATCTTTACACAGCCGTCCGTCCGTGTGTGTGTGTGTGTGTGTGTGTGTGTGTGTGTGTGTGTGTGTGTGTGTGTGTGTGGACTTCTCTGCAGGATGGAATGTTTTAGGCTCATCTTTACACAGCCGTCCGTGTGTGTGTGTGTGTGTGTGTGTGTGTGTGTGTGTGTGTGTGTGTGTGTGTGTGTGTGTACTTTGAGAACATTTGGGTCATTGTATCCATGGCTCTATAATGAATGACAGAACTGCCAGCTAACTCTTTATTTCATCAGACTCTGCACTCTTTGTCAGTGCCTTACATTTTTGTTGCATTTGTTTAATAAATGCCTGAAACTCAGACTTTATCTTAATTTGTGTGACTGTGCCTCTTCCACAGTCTGTATGTTTTCTAATTCACTAGAACAGGTCTAATAAATTGATTGGAGCAAGCTAGAGTTGTCCTGTCAACTCTGATACAGTATTGGTTACTCTACTTGGCTGTGTTTGGTAGGCCTTTTTTTTTTTTTTTTTTTTTTTTTTTGCATTTTATTTGTGATGGATAGAAAGAGCACTTTCCTTTGGAGAGTTGTCTTGGTTACCACTTTATGGTATTCAGTTAAGGTATGTTACTGTGGGAAGTTTTACCTTTGTTGTAACCAGAGGAGTGAAAACAGGAGCTATCCTGAGAAGTAATGGGGCATTTTTTTCAATGATGGAATTATTTGGCTTTTCCTCTTTAGCCTGTTGTTTTTAAGTGTTTTTATTGTCACTCAGCCACCTAGCGTTTCTACTGCTGATGAGGTATGAGTGAGAACTGAACCCTCTAGCGTTTCCTGTGATGTTGCTGGCTTCAGCTCCGACTGGTACATTTCTTCGCGCCTCCCTTAGGTGGGAATATGTTGCTGTCCTTCTACACCCCCCCCCCCCCAGGCTGTCTCACCAAGGCTAGTTTTATGCAGTCAGCGCTTGCGGCCTGTCTCATTTCATCTCCTACCCAGGCTGTCCCCATGCTGCTTTCCATTAGTCTGGAGGAAAAGCCTCTTTCCTCACATCACTTCCTTTACTGAAACATCTTAAAAGCCTCTTGGTGACCTGGTAGACAGACAGCCCTAAGTGGATGGTGACAATTTAAGTGATTACCTTTGTCCCTTTTCGTTTTCCTTCTGGGACTCCGCTAACTTTGTTGTCTTTGTGTATGTAGTTAATCAGTTACCTGGATATGATAGTTTTTATTTAATGTGTGTAGTAAACTGTAGGCTTTATAAAAAAGTGAAGGGAACCGAATTATTTCTAAGCTTTTGTTTTGCACAGTTTATTTATATGATGGCTACAAAGTCTCAGCTATATTGTTGACATACCATTTTTAACATTCATTATTAATCACTGAATTGCTTACATTTACATGTTTTTTTCACGTTTAGTTTCTATTAGTTTTTTAAATGATAGGTGTTTCAAAAAAACAGCTTCCTCTGATTAAAAGCCAATATATACATGTATATATACATATACCTATGTATATATATGTATACACACATACACACACATACATACATGCATGCATGCATATATACAATCCCCCCCCCAGAGATTTGGCTTTTGAAGTCATATTGTTAGATTAGGCATATTTTTGTTCTTAGACATTTTGTGATTTTTTTTTCATAAGAAAAGGCTTAAAATTAAAACTTAACATCATAAAATGGACTAACAGTTGAGGTGAAAAAAATTATTTTCCGTTCTCTTAATTTACCTATTGCACTTGGCACAGTCCACTAGCAACAGACAAGAGACAGGGATGTTGAGCTGGCGATGCACGCCTTCTGCAGTCCCAGCACTCATGAGTTAAGGTGGAAGCAGGCTGTTAAGTCCCAGGCCGGCCTCGGGTACTTGATTACAGAGCTTCTGTACTCAACTCACTGAGGAAAAGAAAAATGGTCTTTTAGGAGTGCATCAGATATGCAACTATTAGGAATAAGTCCTGTTGTGATTATCCTGACAACTCTGTCAAACCTCAGAAGTTTGATAAGAATGCTGCTAGCGGATGTCTATTGCCCAGGGTGCCACATCACGCTTACAGGGACTCTCCTGAGAAGAGTGTTGTCTTTTTAGTGCAGTAGTCAGCTGAGTTCTTTTGTGTAGGGTGGTTGTTTTTGAAGAATATTTTTATTTATTCTTGGACAGTTCCATATGAATGCAGAATTACCTTGACCGTCCTTCAGCAGCCAGCAACTGCCAATAGCTCCTCAGCTCCCGGTGGGACCTACTGTGCCCCTCCCCACCTGTGTTGTACCATTGACTGGTTGATCTTGAGCGGGTGACCACAGCAGCTGTGAGTGAATTCATGAGTGTGGCAGCCATGTCATCTGCAGGGGACAGCATTTCACAGTCCTCCTCGACGCCTGCCCTGTGATGTTCCCAGAGTCGGGATGGGAGGGCTTACTCTTCGGTGCTTTGACCAGTTATAAGCCTGCATTACTGCTACTGCAAGAAGCTTCTCTGACCAGTTTAGAGCAACATTTATCCACAGATATAAATGTAAACATGTGGAAACCAGTTCAAGGGTATGGCCATTTAACAAAATAACAGTAGTGCGTTCCCATGAGAGCCAGTGGCTCCCCAGCCCAGGGGCTTGACCAGGTTACAGTCAGGCATGAATTCCTCCCTGTAGAGTAGGCATCAGGTCTAATCAGAAAGCATTTGGTTACCTCTGCCCCCCAAGAGTCACAGCATTATTTCTTGAGTACTGTCTGGCAGGTCAGTATTGTTGCAAGCAGGGACCACCACTGGGTAATACTGTTGATGGTTTTTCTCCCCCAGTGGCCTGTGTAGCACCTTCCAGCACTATGAAAGATAGCCAGCAGGGAGGAATTTCCAGGTCAGTTCCAAATTGATTTCTTTCTGTCCTGCAACCAAAGTGTGTGGTGTCTTTAGCAGTAAGGCCTTATTACTATGTAGCTATGGTGGGCAACCAAGAGCACTGGCAATAATAGCCTGTGTTGTTTTAGTGGTCTCTAGGGCCTTGTTGACCTTTAACTCTCAGGGAAGTATCCCACATCTGGCACTGAAATCCTATCTCTATCAAAGCTTGGATACTTGATCTGAATTCATTGTTATCAAATGTCTTGCTCCCCTTAATCCATAGCTTTCTTACAATACACTCATTAAAAAACTTCTCTTTAAATATTAAAAAAAAAAAAGTGTGAGCGTTTTGACAGTGTGTATGTATATGCACCACATGTGTGTCTGATACCCATGGATGCCAGAAAAGGTGTTAAGTCCCCTGGAATTGGAGTGACATGGTTGTGAGCCACCTTGTGGGTGCTGTGAACGGTCCTGGTCCTCTGCAAGAGCAGCCAGTGCTCTTAACTCCTGAGCCATCCCTCCGCCCCTTAAAACAATTCCTTTTTTAATGCAGTAGTCAGCCATGGTGTGTTTCTGTAATTGGTGACTTTATGGTATCACTTTTAGAGTTATTGGCACTGCCTTTTGTCCCTGGTGGAGAAGAGGGATTTGCTATTTGAAGTCTAGCTAGTTGATTTTTAAGAGTGTCTGACATTCCATATTTTTGCACGAATCTGATTTATGTGCATTTATTATGTTAACCTTTTTCCCCGGTGATATCACATTAGTGATACTTATTATTGTGTGTATTTATGCTTAAGCCAGGACCATGTTTATGATCTGTGTGTATGTGTGTGTGTGTGTAGTTAGCAGCAACAGCAACAAGGACTTACTTGCTTGTGTTGTTTTGTTTTGTTTTGTTTTTTTTCAAATAGACTACGACTGAACGACCTTTCATTCAGAAGCTCTTCCGTCCTGTGGCTGCAGATGGACAGCTGCATACACTTGGAGATCTCCTCAGAGAAGTCTGTCCTTCCGCAGTCACCCCTGAAGGTAAGGTACTTGGCAACCCCAAGACGGTGCTGCCCTTTTGTCTTCTAAACCTCTGGTTGCTGGGGTGATGTGAATATTCTATACTGATGCATTTTAGGAAGATATTTTCTTATTACCTTTTAAAGGGAAATGTTCTGTTTTATAGCACTTGAAATAAGACAAGAAATCAGTTGTCTTTGGCAAAATAAAATACGCCTCTCATGCTGTGAGGCTTGTAAGTACTACTGTAATGACTTTGCTTCAGATTTCTTTAAGAAATTGAAATATTTGCATGCGTGCATGTGGACATGTATGCAGGTGTCCTGCTGCCTTTCTCACCCAGTCATTGGGTAAGAAACTAGGTAGCTTGCAGTCTCAGCCCTATGATATATTACAGTTCTCATTGTTGACTCGTTTTTAAGAGGAATTTTCAATGACATATGATCATGTTCAGTAATACCCTGAGCATCCTTACCCTTTCAGACGTGGTAGGAAGGAGGTTGGAATTGCTAATCATGAAAGCAGTTCTTCAATGGGTTCTTATGAAAGAACCTAAGGAAGTGGTTTTACTAAGAAGTAGAATTAGAGCTGGTAGGGTTGGTGGAACCCTGAACACATACCAGGGAGGGTTAAGAAAGCAGGTAACGAACCACAACACAAAATTAGAGGTCGAAATTTATTGGTTTTAGAGACTGTGTGTTTTATGAAGTCTTAGTGTGTGACTTGCCTTACCTGAGCTCTTGAACAACATATTACACATCAGCGTGTCTCATGGTCTCCTATAAGCCTTGTATCTCTAGGATATGTTCCCTGACCATTAAATTACTGGATTCTTTGTATAGGGCTCACCCCAAAACGTAGTAGTTACGATAACTACATTTGAAGTAACACTAAGCTGCCGTATGCTCTTGGACACGCTCCCTCTTTACTGTTTTATGATTTTAACTTTCATTAAAGACTTCCTTCCATTCAATTTTTTTTTTGACGTCTCAGTAGCTTTTTTAAAAATAAACTCTGTAGAGCTGTATACCTGCTGTCATGATTTGCAATTAGAACACGTTGTCCCCTCAGCATGTTTACGTCTACACACTTACAACGGACCTCTTTCCTGACTATTAGCCATAAGCAACCATTGGTCTGCTTTCTGTCTCTGTGATTTGCCGGTTAAAAAATATTCCATATAAACAGAACCATACCATACATGGAATTACAACCCAGTGTAATGTCTTTTTCCTCTGTCCTTTTTAGCGTTTGTTGTTGTTGTTGTTGTGTTTGTTTGTTTGCTTGTTTTTATTTTTGGCGAGTGTCTTTTTATTGGTGAACAATATGACTTAGGTGGATGGGATGTCACATTTGACCTGCCACTTTACCTGCTATAAGCATGTGAATTATTCCAACTTCACTTTTATGATTAATTCTGCTGTGAGCATTGGCATGGAACTTTTCAGGAACATGGTTTCCTATTTCTTAGGTCCATTCCTAGGTGTATGGAATGACTGGGTCCAACAGGAAGCTTAATTTTTCTCCAGAGTGCTGGCCAATTTACAGTCCCACCTGTGACATAGTAAGGCTCCAGTCTCTGTACATCGTTGACATGCTTCATAGTGACCCTGATGGTTGTGTGATGGCATCTCACAGTGCTTTCACTTTGTGTTTCCTTGAATTGAATTTCCCCCCTGACAACTGTACCCACTGTTTTTGTTTACACTGAGGGGCTGCAGATGGTGTGCACCGTGTGCAGCTCCTGTTTCTAGGCCCTTGATATCACTAGCCAGATGCCCTTGATGAAACACCCCCATTTTTATGACTCTTCCATTACTGTGATTTGAGAAATACTTATATATTTTGGTGTGTGTTTGTGCACGTGCTCGCATGCATGGGGGGGGGGAAGAGAGAGGGGAGAGAGAGGGAGAGAGAGAGACCTTGACTTCACATGAGTGACGTAGTACGCGTCCTGTCAGAACAACCTTCAGGAGACAGTTCCCCCTGCTGCTATAGGCTCCAGGGATCATCAGCTTTCACTTGCTGGTCTTTATGCTAACCTTGTAGGTTTTTCTACTTAACCGTAGTAGCCTTTTTTTTTTTTTTTTTTTTTTTCCTTTTCATTTTCTGTGTTGTTGTTTTATTTTGTTAGGACTAGTGTGATGTCCCAGGGTTAAGAGCACTACTCTTTCCAGAGGACTACTCTTTAGTTCCCAGTACTCCATCGTCTGTGACTACATTTCCAGGGCATCCCGTGCCCCCTTCTGACTTCTGCAGGCACCCACACTCATGGGGTACATGCCCACGAGACACATACAAAGTCCTTAAACAAAACCTTCATCTGACAGTGTTCTGAAATGTGTGCTTTTTCCTAACTCAATTCACTGAATTCTTCTCTTGACTTAATTCATGGTGTGACCTTAGAATCTAAGCTGCATCTGTGTTTATTTTGTTGTGTTTGGCTTTCCTGCCCACTGTCCAGTACACTAAAATGGTGACTATAGACAGCAAGCCAATACAAGAAAGTCTGACACCCTTTATCAGAACATGTTTGTGTTCACTTTTGCCATCTTCCACCCAGGCTATAGTGATACATACAAGATTATCATGGCCTTGTCTATGAATAGTAAGTGCGTTGGTGAACGTTTTTGCAAAGCTTCTTTGTTCTGTCCTGAGTTCTGGCCCTACTTGCATGATCTTTGCTAGAGAATATGCAAAGTGACTTTATTGTTTGAAGAGGGGAGACACAAGAAGACATTCCTCGCACTTCAACTCACAGGTCTGCCTTGGACTGCGACAGATGCCGTGATGAATGGCAGGCTTTTCCCACTCATATCTTAACCCAGAGCGGAGCTGGAGAGGTGGCTTAGTGGTTCCAGCACTGGCTGCTCTCTAGAAAACCTGAGTTTGGTTCCCAGCACCCACATGGTGGCAGAAACTGTTAGAGTCACAATTGTCTATAACTGATGCCTTCTTCTGACCTCCAAGGTCAAGGCACACACATGGTGCACAGATACAAAGTCAAGGTACACACGGTGCACAGATAGAACGTGCAGACAGGCAAAACACCTATATGCATAAAATAAATAAACAGTAACAAAAAACCTTTAACCTGAAGATCTGCTTCAGACTGTTCAGGTGCTATGGGTGAGTTAACAGGCATCTCTTCCTCAAATCAGCAAGTGCTGGTTGATGGAAAGACTCATACATCACTGGTATGACATACGTAGTGTCAATACAAAGCATTAAATTTCATACCATGAAATTGGGCACATCCTTAACTCTGTATCTTTCTTTTGGAAAACTTTTATCTTTGCGGTTTGTTTTTTTTTTATATTTATTTCTTTGCGTTTTTTTTTCATTTCATATTTATAATTAGGAGAAAATTATTTAAACTCTGTGGGTGTATTCAGAAGTTTCACGTCTCTGAGCGGAGAAAACGCAGTGTGCAGTTCAGGGTACCTGTCCACCGTCAGAGTGGGACATGTTGACACACCTGCACTCAAGCTGAAAGTGAAAGACTTGAAATTTGGGTGTGTGTGTATAAGATCTAGCTGTCATTGCATGATAAAAAGAGAAAGTGCTTACAGAACCCATGTGACCCCAATTGCATGCTCCTCCCTGTGATTCAGCCGTGGAGGAATTCAGTCTTAGTTCATCATGACAGCAGAATGTGCTGAGCTTGGGGTCATTGGAGTGCCGCGATGAGCTACTGTGTTCTTTTCCTTTCTGCTCTCTAAGTGGCTAGGGAAATTAGCCAAGATAGAAGGAACAGGAAACAAAGCAAAGGTGAGCACAGGTACATGGTGTCTGTGGTTTCAGTGGATGGAATGACTCAGAGATGAATACTTGCGCACTGGGCCCGAATCACGTATCTTCCTCTTTCAGTGTAGTACAGTGTCTATGTCAGAAACCAGGCCCGGCTTGGTGGCTTGGTGTGGCTGGCCACCTGCCACCATATTGTTAACATGAGTTCAGTCCCTGCGATCAACACAATAGCAGTGACCCCTAAAAGTTATCTTCTGACACAAAATGAATAAATTAAACTTTAATATTTAAGAATCAAAAGTCATATGCTTAATTATTATTTAGTAGAATATAAAAAAAAAAAACCTATGAACTTTACTGACTCATACTTTATTTTCCATTGTCCCAATGTAATTACAAAAACAGGTAAGCTGCATATAGTATAACAAACCTCCATTCTTGTTTCTGTAAGTTTCTTTTAAGATTACATTGATTAGTTCTCTGTGTTGGGCTATTTTCTCCTGATTTTGTATTTGGTATTAGACAGCACAGGTGTAAAGAAAGACCTTAGTCCATGGCAGGTTCGTCCAAGCATCCTGTAGCTCTCTCTCCTGAGGGATGAGTTGTTCAGTAAGCTTTCTTGTTTTCCCCTTCTACTTCCTGCCAACTTCTGTGCTCTTATTTAATTCCTTGATATCCTTCCTTGACAACGGTTTAACTTCTTGGGTCCATGTGATGTCATAAATTTTAATTCTCATCACTTATTTTCTTTGTATTGTATATATTGTCTTGTTGCTCTAAGATTGAGTAGTGTTCTATGAAGAAAGCTTTGGTCCGGTTGGAATGGACAGGAAGATGTGGGGGTGATCTGGACTGATGATGCGGTGAGTATCACCCTCATCAGTTCTGATGAGAGAGTAAAAATTGAGTCATAATGAAGATGGGCAGAAGTGAAGCGTTTGGAGAGGGAAAAGGGGATCAGGTCACACAGTGCAAATATCTGCCATGGAACCTCACCAGCTGCCTTACATGACATGTCGTGTCAAAGGCTCTGCCCATTCTGTTTGCTGAGTTTCTCTGCCTTTTCTTTATACATACCTGAAGTTGTCAGTAAGCTTGGAAATGTTGGAGAGTTACTAAGGAACTCAGTGAAGTGAAAGCTGGAGACTTGGAATATTCAATTTAGGTGATCTGACTTCAAAATTACTGTGTGTGTGTGTGTGTGTGAGAGAGAGAGAGAGAGAGAGAGAGAGAGAGAGAGAGAGAGAGAGATTTACTATTTATTGAACCTG